ATGTAAAATATTTGAGACTGCAATTACTTTTGCAAATCTGCAGAGCAGAGCTAAAGTGAAAGAATGAAATGCTTGCTTAGGCTTCAGCTCTGAAATGCTGACTCTGTATTTTAACTTTAGTCACTAGCTAGAGCTTCAGTAACTGCTTTGAAATCTGTGTGTAGAGAGGAGGGGAAGGAATGCATCACACTGGTGCAGGACTGAATTCTCAGGGAGTTTGAGAACCGGAATCTCTTTCTGATCCAAGCAATTAACTAAAATTTCAAGACTTGGCAGCTGTTTGTTTTCTGAAAGGAAGCAATTATACAACCACAGCAGAACGACAGTGCAGGCAGAGAGCAGAGAGTAAACCTTTCTTAAATTCCACTTCTGAATAATGAGCTCAGACTTCTATGAACTGCTCTCACAGGAAAAAGGAGAAAAAGATTACTTAGGACCATACTTGCACATTGTCACAAAATTCCTACTGGCTGGAATAGTAACAACTTGCAGTTCTCTCACAGTTATTTTGTGAAGCTGAAATACTGCTACATTTGCTCCTAAGTCTTCAACTCAGAAAAAACAGCATTAGCAGTGAAAAGAGAGTAACTCATACATAAGCACTCTCAGCAAGGCCAAACCTAGTCCAACAAGTATTTTTTTCTCCTTCAGGCTCACTCACTGTCTTCAGGTACAAAACAGTGTTAGTGTAACTAAGATAGACATGAGACACAATGTCTTACAATAAAAGCCTTTCCTGCTCTTAACTAGCATCCCCAAAGATGTTGTAAATAATGTAGAAACACTGTAACACTGTGTCTCAAGCTCTTACTATTTCCATCCTTGAGTATCTCAGTCCACAACAAGTTGGTTTTTGTTTTTGGTTTTTTTTGTTTGTTGTTTGTTTTTTTAAATTTTATTCTGCACAGTTACACATATGAGAACTGAGGGATTGCTTCTTGTTCAGCCACTTCCAGCAAACAGAATTCAGCCATGGCAGGGTATGAGCTGCAGCACAGGAACAACTAAGGGCTTATAGCAGAATGATGGGAGCACTTAATAGCTTGTAAGGGCCTTGAATGATGAACTGTAGAGCATTTGAAGAACTATTTATCCACCTACCAAAGATTAGTCAGTCATACAAAATCTTGGCTTATGTCTTGCAATGAATTTCAGCAAGGTTACACACCTGGAATAAAATTTAAAGTGAATGAAGCATGAAGGACCTTTTAGGCGTCAGCTTCTTTGACGTTTTTTCAAGCATCTGAAATGTCTGCTATTAGATGCAGAGCTAATAGGCAGAGTTGGTTGTTTTGTTTTTTTCTTGAAGTGTCTGTGCGTTGAGAAATAGTGACAGAGAGAGATTTAAAGAATAATTATAACATTGCTAAATGTAAATTTTTCAAAGGTAAACAACCCTCTAATGATTTTCAAGTCTAGATGTAGCTTAGTTCAAAGGCTAATATAGATTGTGATACAAAGAGATCATATACTAACCCACACAGTAATTTCTGTTTAATATATGTATTCCAGAAGGGCTTTAGAGACGTAGCAATTAAAAAGTAGGATTGCAATACTCATAATACTCTATCTTAAAAAGTTAGCAGAGTTTTAAATATTAAGAATAAAAAAAATAGTTGCTTAGGATTAGTGGGGCAAATCTGTTGTTTTTCTATACATTGAATTTAACAGAGAAAAGCCCTAGTATTTGACTGGTCAAATTGGGTCAGCAATGACAGTGAGCACACTGAAGAGGGTATTTATAGTTTAAAATTTATTGGGCAAGATTATAACATTCACAAGAAGATGATGGAGTACAGGGCAGTTGTTTTCAGTATTCCCTGATCCTTGAGAAGGTAAAAGAGGAAGAAATGGCAAAGTGCTTGTACTAGGAAAAACATGGGTTTTGTGTGAAGATCAGTGTAAAGATACCTTACCACCAGCAATATTAACTTACTTTCCTCTCTATTGATGTTATGTGAGGATGAAAAATTATTAATATTCTTGTCTATCTAGAAAAACATTTAAATATGTTTATTTTTAAATGTTTTCGGTGCTATTTTTATATCTGTAGCATAAAGAGAGAATAATTACTACAATTGTCAGCTAGTTGTAACACAATTCAAAATTCTTCATATCTTTCCAGTTGCCTATTTTTTAATTTTGAAATGGAAGATTATTTTCTGAGTTGAGCTCTAATAAATGCAGCATATGTGCATTGTCTTACTAATTAGTATGCTTATGTAAGAGTGGATGTACCATATTTATCTTGATTTAAGATAGGAAAATCCCAGATGAGCTTCCTTGCTGTTTCTGTGCTTAAACAATGAAGAGAAAACGTCCTGGGATCTAATTTTCCCTCCTTGCTGAATTGTGGTCATGACAACCATCTGTACAAGGATAAGCTTCACAGTATTGTCTTGTTCAAGGGTATCATTTTGATGTTATGTGGTGTGATACAATAAGGTAATGGCAAATAATACTGTGCAGCAGTTGGTGCTCTCATCTACATACACTGCTGACTTACACTTTTGGTTTTTGTGTGTTTTGGTTTACTTGTTTAATATTTATGTGGACATTGAGGCAACAAAAGTATAAAAACCACTAACTCGCAGAAAATACATTAACGTTTGAGAGAAGGGCTAAGGGAAATGCCATTGTTCTGACTTTTCAAATTTATCCATCTCTGCTGGGTACCAGGGAATTTACATGTTGAATATGAAATGTAGCTTTCTCTGCTGTGCCAGCAAGGCAGGATACAATTTTTTAAATCCAACACTTTGCTTTTGCACGTGTTTATGGCAAGATATTGCCTAACAGTGTATGGACAAATATAAACAGAGGTAAAGACAGTGCTAGGTCTTTATTATTTAGCTTCTTTCTAAACACAGCTGTTTATAAGATGATGTGGAAAAAAGCTGAATATACCTATTATTAAGCAGAATATGACAGATAAAAGTATTTTTGCTCCAAAACTTCTACACAAGAAAGCCCTTAATGACATTGCAAGTAATGTAATTTGGCTTTGGTCACTCTGTGCATCAAAGTACAGACATAATATATCTGGAATTGAAAACACACAAGGAAAGATTGCTTAAGCTGTATTTTGAAATACTTTTCAGATATTAGCAGAAGACAAAAAAGACAAAAAAGTTCTGCAAACTCCTGCTGGGAACAGTATTTTAAGGACAGGGAGTGTAGAGACGGCATGTCTTCCTTGTCACAAGATTTTGTGCAGAGTTTGTGGGGGTTTTGGAGCTGGTGGTGAAACAAACAATTCACACTCTAGGCAAGCAATTCTACTTGAACAAATTTTGATTAAAATAATTTAAAAAATACAGCAGGACAACAGGCTGGTAAGACCTTCCAAGTGTGACACTGAAAAAGGAGCTGCGATGTAGCCAATTATTGATGTTTATCCTGTTGCTGACTAGAAAGTTTGCTTTTTAACTTAGCTTAACACATTCTCACACAACCACTGTGATTTAAAAACAAGAATTTCTATGTGGATATACTTCAGATTGAATCTAATTTTTTTTTTCTCCAGCTGGCAACCCTTTGCCTTCAGCACCAGCAATACCTGACTGCTGTTCACCATACATGAACATCTGTAAAGAGCAACCAGGGACCTTTGTGTTGTCCAAGTCTGTTTTTAGCAGACCATCACAACTCCAGAACAGTGTCTAGTTAGTGCATCCGAGGGAGAACTATCCCTCACATTTGTATTTAAAACAACTCTGAAAAAGACATTTTGATTATAAACACTACTTTATTTTGATGTAACTAGGAACTGGCCAGACTAAGCTGTACTCCAGTGCTCTGCTCAGGCTTCCCTCCCAGTGCCCTTTTCCAGGGATAGCAAACTGCTTCAGTGCTTTAGTTTCAGTGGCTTATCCCAAGAGGGAAGATGGCTTTGAGAACTTGGGCAGTTTGAGCAGGAGACAGATTGGAATCCTAAATTCACTATCCAGTCTTCTGAGTTCAGCCGTTCCTGAGTGACACCAGTGCGACCCAGGGAGCACTTGCACTCGGGTGCGGCACAGGCCGAGCTGCACGCACCAAAGGCCCCTACGTGGTCAGGCCAGGCTTTAGGGTGTTCATAAACACGGGACTGGGCCAACTGCCCTGCTCAGCCATGCAGACCAGAGAAACGGGCCCAGTCTGAACAACTGCAAAACACAGCGATGGAAAACAAGAGGTCTTTCCGGAATCAGAGAATTGTTAGTGTTGGAAGGGGCTTCTGGAGATCATCTAGTCCAACCCCCCTGCCAGGCAGGGGCACCTAGAGCAGGTAACACAGAAATGTGTCCACGTGGGTTTCGAATGAATCCGGAGGGAAACTCCATGACCTCCCTGTTCAGCCTGTTCCATTAGCTTAGCTAACACAGCTGCTGCTAAAATCTGCACTGAGGGTCAGCTCATCTCCTAAAATGGCAGCACCCCGATGTCGGTGCAGAGGAGTGCACCGTCCCGTCCGCTGCCCTCCGGTACCCGGGCCGGGCCTCGCCAACCGCCGCGGCAACAAGGCGGACCCAGGGTCATTCCACACGGCAGGGCCGACGCCGCGAAGGCGGGGAGCTTTCCCCCGAGCCCGGCCGGGGTTCTGCGGAACGGCGGGGCCGGGCGCTGCCGCATCCCCTCAGGTGCGGCGGGAACAATGAGCGCCCCGCCACAGCGAGCCCCGGCGGCGCGCACAGATCCGCGCCGGGCGCGCTCCCCAAAGTAGTCCCTCTTTGTTCACTAGCGGCAAAGGCTGCGCTGCGCCAGTGTCCTTCCGCCGCGGCGGCCCCGCGCCCGCCCCCGGCGCGGCCGCGATCCCGCAGCCCGGGCCGCCGGTGCCGCAGCGCGGCGGGGAGCGCGGCCAGGGGCCCGCTCGGCGCGGGGAGCCCGAGGCCGCGGAGGGAGGGAGGGGGAGGGAGGGAGCTCCCTCCGAGCGGCCGCTGGCCGGCCGCTGTGAGGGGTCACTGGTGCTCCTCGCTGACCAAAACAAAGGGAGGGAGGCAGCGGGCCGGTCGGCGGGGCCGGGGGCTGCAGCGGTGAGGTGCCTTCAGCCTCGCGCCAGCTGTATTTTCATCTTCTCCTTTAAGGATATTGTCCGAATAGGCTGCGTTTGCTCGAGTGCGAAGAGAGCAGCACAAAGAGGTAGTGGTTTTCGTTGGTAACTTTGTGTTTGGGGCTTTTTTTTTTCTTTTTGTTTGTTTATTTGGGATTTTTTTGTGTGTGTGGCTTTTTTTTTTTAATTGGTTTGTTTGAAGTGCCTCACCTCTTAATTTCTGTCAGGCTTGACGATTTGAACGTACACAGCAGGTTTTTGCTCCACTTAAACGTGGTAACTGTTGCTGTTTGAAAGGACATATAGTAATGCATTTTCCTTTTTTTGGTATTGAATTCTGTGGAAAGAATGGGCTGATACCTCTTTTAGTGAAAGAGAACAATGTGGTTCCGTGCTGGATGCTCTGGACACTGATATTAGTGTTGAAATATGAGGGGTTGTCGTTCATCCATAAAGGATCAGGGTGTTATTAGAAGTAGAGGGCCTGCATAATTAACTGAAAGGCTCTGCCAGGAAAGCAGTGTAGCATTATGGTTGTTTCTGGAATTTGTCATAGGCCCAGCTTATCATAACTTTAAAAGGTCAAGCATAGCAATGGATAATGACATGGTTTTCTCCTGTCTTGGTGTAAGGGAACGTGATCAATGATATACACTCAAACTGCCAAAAGCGTGGGATAGTAACAAAAAACTTTCCTTCTTGTTTCTTTTTCTTTTGATCTGTAATCAGATTGGTAAAAATTGACCTGGTAATGTTTGTCCCTTTTTTTTGAGAGCTCAAATGGCATTTAATTTGAAAGCATTTGAGACTAAGAGAGGCAAAAATGTTTCATTTCTGTATTATTAGAATACAGGTTAATGAATTCATGGCTTTTCATTTAAAGGAGAATAAGAGAAAACAAAGATTGAGCATATGAAAGGAAATGCATAATGTAGTGAAAATGAGAAGAGTCTTTGCAAGGGCTACAAGCTGTGAAATGTGGATCTGTGCTGAGAGTATAATGCAGTAATGATTTCCACAGTTAACCCTTACTTTGTCAAATAAAGGTGTGTGGCTTCCCAACAACTTGCCTTTTCTGTTCTGGAAAGAATTTAAAATCAGATAGAGATGCTTCTCATATGACTTAATAAGGCTCATCAGCATGGTGTATGTATTTTTGTAATAGGTGAAAGACCTGTATTGATAGTTAGTATGAAGTTATGTTTGTCCTTCCCTGCACCAGGAGATCAGGTAAAATTTATGAGAAGAGCAGCTGTAACAAATAAGTTCCAGTTAATTTCCTAGTAGAGAGTGGACTTCAGTATTCCCTGGAGATGGATGTGAATTAATGGAGAGGCACTGAAGCATATTTTGTGCTCCTCATGTGAGTTGTGGAGAAGGAAGCTGGGAGATGTGACTAGCAGCCAGCATGGATCTTTGATTAGCTTGTGAACTGGCCTCGTGTTTTGCTGAGCGGCCACTGGCCTTGCTGCAGAGTTGGTTTCACCTTCTTCACAGGCCTTCCTTGCCGGAAATGGAGGGGAAGTGTGTCTGAGCAAAACACAACAGGAGAAGAATTATAAAACCACAGGTATGGCTGGAGAGATCTTGTCCATGGAGGAGTGAAATCAAGATGCTTAACTGTTTGAGAGAAGAAGAGCTCATGATTCCTGATGAGTGTGGACATACTTCGTTACCTAAATATCTTCAAGGATATCACTACTTTACTTATGTTTTAGATCTATTTGTTTTTTAAATTCTGTGGAATGCTTATTGAGGTTGCTGTTCTCGCAGAGTAACCTTAAAGCAAACTTATCATTATGGGATTTTGGTCAGTTCTGAAATCCCTTTTCTTCCCCACTTCTCCCAGAGCAAGGTAGCATGTTGTCTGTTGTTTCTTTCATTGCTGGGGCGCGTGCTCGCACTCCCTTAGGTCTGTTGGTGTACTGTGTACTGGATTTGGATAGTGTAGAAACCCAGAAGGCAGTTGCTGTATACACAGAGGTGCTGAGGCTACAATTAAGGGGAATTATGCTTGGAAAAGGTGTCTTGTGACCCAGCACCATTGTTTTATCCCTGTACCTTCATGTGCAAACAGATGATCAGCCCCAAACAAATGGCTCTTGCAGTACACGACTGCGCTTTCTTCCCTGTGCACTAAATATGTTATTCTGTAAAGATCTTTTAAATGCTAATCCTTTCACTATTTATATCAAAGAGATTTAAAACATTTCTAGTTATTTAAGGTTTCTTGAGGGAGAATGTGAGTGAAAATAAAATCACAAATGATTGTAGTATTATGAACATGGGAGTACGCTTATGCTGGTGAGCACCTCTTTTTAACAGTGTGCATCAGTGTTATTAAGGACAGTCGTATTTCACAGGATCAGAGAGCAAAACCAGTGTTCTGTCTAGATGCTAACAAGTCTTGTGTCACAAACAGTCACTTCTCCTCAGTCCACTGGCTGGACTTCTTTCTGACGTGCAACAGATTCATAGACATAACTGCTAATCAGATTAATAAGCTGTGGGGCCTCACTTGGTTTTTATTACCAGTTTTTTATTTCTTAGAAGCAAAATGTATTACTTTTGTCACTTAATGTGATGGATATATTTTTGAAAACATAGATCTATTTTAAAAACTCACAAATGACAAGATATTCTGTGATAACTAGAGAGTTCTTCCTAGGCAGAAGAACTCAGAAAATCCTAGCCAAAATATAAGGCCCTTTGAAAGAATTAAAACCCTCACCAAATCAAACCATCCTATTGGGATAGTAATGTCTCATGTGAAATCACGTTTGGTCATGATGGCTACTATAGGGTTGACTGGCTAAAGCTGAGAATAAGCAAGTTAGAATTTCTCATCTTACTGACAAGGAGTGGCTTATACTGAATAGTTATGCTGAAATCATTGGTAGGTCAAATTTGTTCTGCCTTAAATGATATTTTAACCTCTCTCCGTGGAGGTTTTTGCTGGAGTGCAAGTTGGAATAAACATGTGAACTTGACTCATGTAGGCCCATGGGACAGGCTGCTTTTAAGAGCACCAAGGAAACGATGTGATGTTCTTGTAGGGCTCTTCCTCACCATTACAGGTTGTGAAGAGCAGGGCTAATCCACAATGATTGGGGAATTGCATGTATTGCACCCATCTTGGGAAAGGGCTGTGTTCAACCCCAGGAGCCAAAGGCTGGCTAGCTTCACTTGGTCATTAGGGGAGTCATGAAGTCTTCCTGGAGGATGTTTCTGGATGCACGGAAAGGTGATGGCTGTGACAGTCCCCAGAGATATAAATCATGGCCTGAACAGCCTGACCACCTTCTGCATTAAAAATGGCAGAGTTTTTGAACATGAGGAGAACCTCATCCAGCCTCAGTTTCAGCAAGGCTGAAGGAAGAGATTGACCATGAAATTCAACAGATAAGAAAGCAAAGACCTGCATCTGAAGAAGGACTCCCAGGCTAAGATTAGCTGGGAGTCAATTTTGCAAGATTTTGTGGATCTGACAGAAAGCAGAATGGCAGCCACCACTGTGTCCTGTGAGCCAAGGCAAGTGGTATCCTGGGCTATAATAACAGAAGTAGAAGACAGAGGGGAAATGATTAATTCTATCTACACAAAAATTATTAGACAGCATCTCAGTAGAATGCTGTGTTTGGGTGCTACCACTGCAAGAGACATCAAACTAGAAAATTTGGTGTTGGGCCACCAGGACAGTCAGGGACTGCAGGACTTGCTCTGTGGGAGGAGGCTTGGGGAACCAGGTTCATTCAGCTTCAGGGAGACATAACTGCAGCCTTCCAGCTCCTATGAGAAAACTGGTGTGCTGCTGTTAGTGTCTTCACAGCAGTACCTGGCAGGAGGAGAAGAGGTTAGCTGCCTGCATTGGAATAAGAGAGATTCTGATGGGGGAGGGAACACCCCCTCTCCCTCGGGTGGCAGCTCAGCAGTGAAATGGGCACAGGGTGCTTGCCTGGCCACCTGCTTTGGCCTCATGGCTGATGCTATGCTGAGCAGGACTAGAGAATTCCTGAGAGCCTTTCTACCCTGAATTATTGTACTGTCCTAAACAACACTTAAAACTGAAGGTAGTTTTGATAATGTATTTCTCATCTCCCAATCATTACTCTCTGCTTTTCTAGACTGAAGGATGCCTGGCTTAGAGTCCCCTTGCCTTTCTTTGGTACAGTTGGCTTTTGATTGTACCAGTATGCAGAGTAGTGTAAAGATAAGGAGCTTCAAGTGAGTTTTGTAGATGTGTTGTGATATGGCACATTGGTAAAGCAATATTCATTTCAGTCTATGAAGTAGTGTAGCAGATAGACTGTAATCTGGATTTGTACTTGATCCTTTGCCTAATAAAAGTTAAAGTCTAATATAACAGCCTGTTTACATGTAATTGAAAAGTGACTGTTGCAATAACATTGGTATTATGAAAAGCAAAGTGATTTTTTTTCTTTTTTTCTTTTAAATAATTGAGTTAAATCAACCTGATCTGAGGTTTGGACCTGGGTTGGGGTGGAGGAAGCTAACCTAAGTTTAACTTGTCATCCTGTTAATTTTGGCTGTCTTCTTGGCCCAGCAGAATCTTTTTATTTGGGGGAAGAAAGTATGTTTGCCACAGTGAAAAGATAGTGGTTGGTATGGGATCCCCTAAATAGTGGGGAAGCTGAAAGGAAGAAATGTGGCCAGGATCCAACATTTCTCCAGCTGTTAATGTAGGTATGAGATCCAGGGCACAGGCAATGTTGGAAACATGTGGAGCTGGGTAAACAAGCTACAATTATTACACTCAGACAAGGTTAATTTCCCTTTTTTGCTGTCTTCTAGCTGTGAATGCTTGTTGTGTGCCTGGCTTGTTTAGTCACCAGATCTCTCTGTGAGGTACTTAAATTTATTTTAAATATCAGTCAGTGAATTTCTATTAAGGGAAAGAAAGCTGAATAGGAAGTTAATGGAGAAGCCAGCTTGTTATTGCAGAGCTGCTGGGAAGGGAGCAAGCTGCTGTATTGGATAAGCATGGGTGAAACTGCCGTGAGTTTTGTGTGTTCTGAGCCCTTGCTATACCTCCACTCCCCTCATTCCATCTGAATGTTAGCTCTCCTCTTTTAAGGAGAGAAGACTGCTGGTATTTTACAGCATCTTACAGCTTCTTCATAGTTCATTTTTCTCTAATAAAGGTAATAAAGGGCTAGTTTGCAACTTGAGACCAAAAAAAATTGCAATTAATCAGCAGTAACATCATACTTCCAGAGTCTGAAGAGATTATCTGTAGTTGTCGGAAGGTCTTTCATTATATTTCCTTTCCTGTGGGATACCACATTTCCAGTTTTGAGATAGATCCTAAACCTCTGTGGCTGTCTTAGTAGAATGTTGTGTGTGTGATTTCTATCTGAATTCTCTTCTGACAAATCTTTAAAGTAATCATCTCTTCACTGTGATTTGTATTTACTAGGAATAAATGAGCTATTTTCCCACTTTGATTTTTCTCAGTGGTTTAAAATTTTCTCTTAATGTTCTTTGGGCACTTTGTTGTTACAACTTAGCATTTTTAATGCTTCCAAAAACTATCTGTGCTTATAGGGTAGCTATCATCTGTTACTGTTGCAGCTTTTATGAATTTTTTTGCTGCAACATTTGCATTTATGCTGCAACATTTATGAATTGTGAGCTCTTCTCGAAAAGTTTCCTGAAATTGTATGGATTGTTAGTGAACCTGACTAGTTCAGAGTCATGCAGTCTGGCAGTTCCAGCTGAGGGAGTTTGTGTCCCAAGTTGCTTGTTTGCATTTATTCAGTTGTGCTTACAAACCGTTCTGTTAAACAGATCAGTGCACTGAGATGGCTGGGGAAAAAAACCAAAACAACCACTGGTCAAGGGAGTTTTTCTTAACAGAAGTTTTTTCATAGCAGTTTTTGAGACTGAAGGAGTACAGGAGTATGAATGATTTAAAGAACAAAACACTTGGAAACAAGAATGTGCAGTCTTTTTAATCCTCCAGGCTCTTCACATCTTTTCCCCCAGCTTTTCCATGTCTTCCTTCTGTAGGATAGCTGTAGAGGTACCAAATGAACACTAAAATCTTCTAACTGCTGATAGAGGTTTGTGAGTCAAAACTAACAAATCTAATTTTGATAAATACAATGCTAGGCATAGTAACTGCTTATGGTTCATAAATCAGACTGATTTAGGTAGTTGACTTTGGGAGGAAGTTTGCCATTCCTGTTACAATGACAATTAATCTCCTGCTTCTGCAATGTATTATAAACGAATTCATGAAGTAGATGAATAGAAGGTATCCATCTGCCTGTCTTGCTTGAGACTATCTGTGGCTATGGTCTAGACTCCAAGGTGAAAATCAGTGAGCATTTTCAGTAATTCATGGCATCAACTTCTCAAGAAAAGGTGAAAGTGCATTTCTATTTTCAAACGTATGTCAGTGTACAGACATGTTTTACTCACTGCCACCACTAGCTTCTGAAAGACTAATGGATAGATAAGTATTTTTTTGTTTCGTTTTTGCATTTTAAGTGCTAGAATAAAAATATAGCGCAACATATGTAACATTGAATAATAGATGTAAAGCCATACATACTGTATGACATACAGTGTAGCTTGGTTGTGGAAGTTTAATGAGATAATGTAGATCTTTATATTGTGCAAGATTTTTTGAACAACAGTGAATCTGATGGATATTGTACAATTATAAGTTCTTGGAGAGAAGTGTTTAAGATGGTGGGGAATTTGTTATTTCAAGGTTACTAATTTTGTTGGTAACTATATTATATGTTAGGAAGGTGCTATGAAGCTAACTGTAAGGAAGACTGGAAAGCAAGTTGCAGGAAAATGTGGAACTTCAACCTTCTTGCTTGTCAATTTTAAAATTCAGTTTGCATTTGAACTTCCAAAAAAGTTTTATTTTAATGGTAGTTGTGACTTTTTGGCATTCCACTACAACAGTTAGAGCCGTGATAAGCCAGGTGGGCAAGTTAGTAACATTTTATGCATGTGGCTTTTACACTGGTCTGCACTGCATTTCTTGTGCAGTGGTTCTGAAAGGTACTTTGGAGACACCTACTTTAAGTAACTTATGTCCTGTTCATTAAAGTCAACTTGTTAAAACAGTTGACTTCCTACTTAATCACAGTCAAAAACATTGAGGGAGTGTTTCCCTGGAGAGAAACTTCCCATCCATGTGGCAAGCAACTGTTAAGTTACTGTCAGCCTATTGTAATACTAACCCTATTTTCACTGTCTGAGATAAACCATGAACTGCCACAGCAGGAGCTGCTTCATGAGCTCTTTAGTTGTCACTTCAGCACTGCCATCACTCACAAAGAGAGCAGTGTGGACAATGGAGAAGTGTCTGGTTTATTGGCTCACATCTTTGCTGGGTATCAAGGTTCTCCAGGGTCTGAAGCTGCTATTGTGTATTTACGTTGTTGTATAAGTGAATGTATAGATTCACTCAAGTGTTTTGTGCCAGAAAATGATGCACTCTTTTTTTTGTTGTTGTGCTTCAGTGGTGTTGCGAGACAAACCTTTGCACTTAAAGTAATGCTTTTGAAGACTTTTTTTAAAAATAAAGCTCACAGTTGTGTTTAAAGTGACAATCTGTACTGTTTATGATAAATTAATTTGTCTTTTTGTGTATTTGGTACAAGATTTTTCACACATTTCTTCAAGTACTGGAAAAGAATAGTAAACATTCCTGCCTTGTAGCAGGAATAGCTACCTATTCCTAGGCTAGTCTAGCTAGGCTAACCTAGCTTTTTCTAGGGTCTTAAACCCCAGAAAAAATTTTAAAAGAAAATCTTTGAACTTCTGAGGGTAGTTCTGTCAAACCAGTTGTAAACCAGAAGTTAGTGCCAAGAAAACAAGAAGTGTCCTGGGCTGCCAGGCTTTTACTCTGTTATAGTAAACCTATTTTGAAGGCTGCATGTGTCCTGTCTCATTTATCAGAGGTTTGAGTAGAGCTGAGGAAAAGTAGCAGTAACTTGAATCCGTTTTTTTGTAAAAAGCAGCAGAATTAGTAAGATTCTTTATCTGGGAAATCTGGCTGAATGGTGGGTCTGAACATTGTTGCTTGCACCATGAAGAGAGAAGATGGAAAATGACAGTTTAATTTTCTGATGCAGTGATGAAGGATGTCAGATGAAGTGATAAGGTGTCAGCTGTGAAACAAGCCTAAGGATTTTTTTGTTCCTCTGGTCTTCCCTGGTCACCCATCTGAATATTTTGGTGTTTGGGATCAAGCAGGACTTAAATTGGTGACCCAGTTGTGCATGAGTATGCCAGAGGCCCTTTATAGCTGCTCTTTCTGTCATGTTGTTATTAAATGTCACATTGATTATAAATATGCTTAAAGCAGCTGATTTTCTTGTGCCTAACCTTCTTGGTTTAAACTGTTTAATCTGGTTAGTTTACTGCTTTTGTTGGTGCTTTGAGATAAATTCAAATGTTTCTGGTGCTGATAATGTACCTAAGATATCTTGAGTGAGGTGAAACTGCTCTTCAATTGACTGTATCCTATTTAATTCCCTGATCTCTGTGTTTGCATCCTAGTTACACATACATGTAGTTTCTAGAGAAAATACATTTGGATATACAAATGGTAATTATTACAGTCTCAAATTCTGAGTATTACTTATGAAATTCTTCCTTGGGCACTCTGTGGTACTGTTTCATAATTTTCTCTATTTTACTGCTTTAATTGAAGTGTAGTGTTTGACAGCTAGTCTGACATAAAAGCATATCCACACTTACCTATGGATAGACTATATGTTGTTGAATATATGAGGAAAAATGCTTCTTGGTACAAATAACTTACAATTTTGGATTTTATGTATGAAGAAAGGTTGCAAGATCTGTTGTTTTTCCTTCCTTATTTTCCACCCTTACTCTAAAAGAGAGGAAAATTTATTTTACATAAGAAATTCAACACATAGAAATTCTTCCTGTGCTGGGAAGCTCTACAGCTATGCTTAGTGGCATTGCATGATTCTGTGTTGGGGGTACCTCAGTGTTTACCTTGAGCCAGCATAATGCTCAAGCTGTATTCTCCCAACCAAGGTAGTGCAGTTAGAATTGGCTTGGGATCTTTTTAGCTTCCTCGGAATTTTAGAAAACTGGCAGTAATTTAACTTTTGCATAAGTAATCCTGTATCAAATGTTTTTTGTGTTTTTCAATGCTTCTGGTGATTTTATGAAGAGTCTCTGAGCTGGGAAGTTTGTGCATCCCCATCCTCATTTACATTAGTTGATTTCCTAGAACACGTCTCTTTTATAAACTTGTACCTTTCAGATTTTGTCCACTTTCCTAGTAGCAGAAGCACCGCTACTAAAGGTGTGTCAAGTTAGCAAAGACAAGCAGGTGTTTTGCTACCTGGAGTTGGTCGTGTTGGTGTTTCCAGGCACTGTTCCTCTAACCCAGCTGTGGTTACCTCTTCTCTTCTCTTCCCTTAGAGACTCCGCGGCGGTGGGAAATTCACTGGTCCATAAGCGGTCTCCTTTGCGTCGCAGCCATAAGAGCTCAGCATCTCTGGCCAAGCTGTCGGTGCATGATGGACAGAAAGCCAAAAAGCCACTTTGTAAATTTGAGGAAGGTCAGGATGTCCTAGCTAGATGGTCAGATGGCTTGTTTTATCTTGGAACTATCAAAAAGGTAATCACATTTTTTAACTTCACTGGAGTCTTAAAAGTGTCGCATAGTGTTGGAAATTGCAGTATTGTTGTCTCACTTATGTAGTATTAAATATGTCCTTCTCTTTGGTGCTCTTACTCATGGCTTCCACTGTATTTTTGTCTTTCAGATAAACAAACTGAAACAGAACTGCTTCGTTATATTTGAAGACAGTTCCAAATCCTGGGTTCTCTGGAAGGACATACAAACAGGCAAGAACTCCATGAAGTAGTCATTGTTTGGTATCCTATTTGTTTAGATTACTGTTGGCTGTTAAAAAAGATTATTATATTGTTTTATTCTAAAGAGTAATATAATTTAATGTGAACCAGGAATAAAAATTAAATAAGAAAAAAATATTTTCAAGCAACTGTCATTGAAGTTACTGTTTCGTTTTGGGCTTTTGTTTGTTTTCACCTGTGTGAGGCGGAGAAGTCTTCTAAAAAGAATCCCATTTGAGTTTGTTTGGGTGGGGGTGGATTATGTTCTCTGCCTTAACAAAAAATTCCAGGCCCTAATTTACACCAGGTTTGTATTCTTTACACTGTTTTCAGTTGAAATTACATAATATGGAAAGAAACAAAAGTTGGTGACTCTTATGTTTGAACAGGGTTTTGACACTTAAAATGAGTGCCATAACTGTTGCACACAAGAAACCATTTCAGGTTTTGGAGTATTCATGTGATATAAAGAAATGTGTAGTTATCAAGTGAGGCACCTATTGTATAATACCTTTTTGGTTTTCAGACATTTTGATAGCAGTTAATGTTTTTATTGCTTAATGCTAATGAAGCATGGATGATAGTTTATTCTGAAAATCAGTTAGAATTTTCTCATTGTACAAACACAATGGAAATCTGCTCTGGCTCTTGTTGATTCTTGATGTTTAAGCTAAACACTGTCTACTTAAAGGAAAAGCTTTGTATTTGTAATAGCAAAAAATCAACTGCTTTATTTCTTTAAGCTTGTAAAAAATGCTGTTCTGCTTCTGTATAGTTTATAATCTCTGATTAATTTATCCTAACTATCAAAATTTAATAAATGAGTATGAGAATTTCAAGTTGATGATCCCTATGGGTCCCTTCCAACTCAGCTAGTATTTATTTTTAAGTATTTTTAGCCTAAATTTGCATTCTTTATTCAGTTACTGGATTTTTATTGTTGATGTTGAGGAACCATGGACTGCATAGTTGGTAGCAATGTAAAGCCTATAAATATCTGATAGCTTATCATAAGTGATACAAATATTTATAGCACAGTCTGTACAAAATGTCTGAATATGTTCTATTAAGAAGTTGGTCACTGTAACAATCTGTTTCTACAATGCATGCATCTGGAAGTGAAATTATGAAGAAGGCTATTCATGTGGTAACTGTGTTTCAACTGCAGATATAATCTGAAAAAATCACAATCTCATCTTTGTCTAGGAGCCACTGAGAGTGGGGAAATGGTCTGTACAATATGTCAGGAAGAGTATTCAGAAGCTCCAAATGAAATGGTTATATGTGATAAATGTGGGCAAGGTAACTAGTTTTTTTTTTCTATTTACTGCATTTTAAAAGATGTTTTGATTTGTTTCACAAAGGAGGATATTTGCCCGGCTATGACTGACTGCTCAACTGATCTTAAATTTTGTAGCCCTTAGTGGCTATTAACAGCTCAGTGAAAGATGATAATCCATGTTAAAGTGACTAACACCTATTCTGTAAGTCAAGATTATTTTTTTCTACTAAGAAAATTTAAAAGACCATTTTGAACGTGTTACCAATCTTTTTGTTCAGGTTTTTGATACTTAATGATGGATAATGCCTTCTAGTTTAATTAAGTTATGTGCTTTTGCCAACATAGTTAATTCTGTGGAAGCTTTTGTCATTTTAATAACAGTTTGGCTGATCATTTTTCATCCAGGTTACCATCAGCTGTGTCACACACCAAATATTGATTCCAGCGTGATTGATTCAGATGATAAATGGCTCTGTCGACAGTGTGTGTTTGCAACAACAACAAAGGTGTGTTTCCAGAAAAAACAAGTGATTATACTTCATATTGCATGCATCTTTGTTTTTGCAATTGAAACAATAAAAATGATTTTCAGTGATTTTTTTTTATCCTTGATTTGAACTTAAATTTTGTATGTTGAGAAGTAATGCTATTTTTAGAAATTGACAATGTTATACTTTTAAACAAACATGCTAATATTAAAGCATAAATACACCTGAAAATATTTGACTTGAAAGTTATGAAAACTTTTCTACAATCAAATGAGAAGCTTTGAAAGTTTCGAAAATACATGACTGGTTTTTGTAAACTAATGTATCTGTTTTGGCCCAGAGAGGTGGTGCGCTTAAGAAAGGACCAAATGCCAAAGCACTGCAAGTCATGAAACAAACGTTACCATATAATGCAACAGACCTTGAGTGGGATGCAGGTCATAAAACCAATGTGCAGCAGTGTTACTGCTATTGTGGAGGGCCTGGAGAGTAAGTAAATGGATAATATGTAAGAACTTTTCTCTACTGCAGCTACAAACTTAGACTCTTTTCTTCTAGGCTTCCTTGTGCACTTGTTAGTTTTTGTTTCTGTTGTGTGTACATATCAGAAACTGGATGCAAAGTGGGATTTTGAATTCTCCATATACTTTTTAAGTGTCACACAGTGGGAAGTATATTAATTTCTTTTCCTCTCCCATAAAATATTTTGGTTTGTTTTAATTTTGTCATGTGACCATCACAGATCATCACAGTACATTCTGTAATGAGCAAGAAATTTTTTTTGAGTTGCTACTGTTGATGTATTGAGTTTAGATGAAGTTGTTTGTTGATGATCTTGCAGTTCTAGGCAGAATTTCTGATGTTAACTCAACTCTGTCATAAGTCACAGAAATAAGTGTACCTGGGATTTAGTTTATTAAATTTTGTTGAAATAGAGAGCTCTCTGATTCTACCATAATGTCATATCCTGGTTTTCAGTGACTAGCAGGGGAAAGATTTTTTTTTTTCCCCTCTTAAGGCATTACAGAGTCCTCTGCTGGTTCTTTTTTGCAAGAAAGTCAACAGGACTTCTTAAGCAGCTAGAGATGAGTACTCTGGTGTCTGCATGAATGAGTGAAAGAATAAGATGGCATTGTAGATTTGAGGTCAAGGCAAGTAAAGAGTCCCACAAAAAACCAAAGTTTTGGAGGGTATAGATGCAGGACAGAGCTGTGGTTTGAGACTTGAACAAGCATGGCTGCCAGTTTTGCATGGTTCCTTTTCTCAAGGGAGAAGCTGAAAAAGGAAAAGGTGTAAACTATGAGGTTTCTTTTGAAGATTCAAGTAGTTGGATCTCCAAAACAAATGTTTGTGACTTAATGCAGTTGTGTTGTGCTTTAGAAAGTAACAAGGAAGCTAAATCTAATATGTCAGAAGGAGCTTATATGGAGTTCCTGAATTCTTACTGAGAATTAAAAGGTGGATGTCATAGTAAATGAAATAGGGTTTTTTTTCTTAATTTAATAATTTAATTAATTATTTTACTAGGCTGTCTTTTATTAGTCCTCTGTCTTTCCTAGTAATTTATTATGGAACTAAGTGTTACTGAAATATCCATAAAGATGACTGTTTTATAAACTGTGCAAATCATTTGAGTCAAAAGATTCCTTCCTATTTAATTTAAATATAATGAAGAAACAATTTTCAGTAACTTTTTAAACACATCTTGTGTCTCTTTCTGTTGTTGAAGCTGGTATCTAAAGATGTTGCAGTGCTGCAAATGTAAACAGTGGTTTCATGAGGCTTGTGTGCAGTGCCTCCAAAAGCCAATGCTTTTTGGTGACAGGTAAGAAAATTAAGCTGTATTTTGTTGGTTGCATTTATTTAAAAAGTGAGGGAAGTCTCACATATGAGCTTTTATTAGGGCATCCATAACACAACAGTATTTTTCCAAAAGCGTTTTGAATAGAAGTTTATGCACAAGACAGCCTGTGTTTGGGTGCCAGGAAAATGCAGTTCTTCATCTCATTTGAACAGGATGCAGTGATGGGTGGGAGAGGTGACCAACGATAGTTGGATTGCAGCTCTTACTGCCTTTACTTTGTGTGGAAATGCTTTATAAAATAGGTGCAACTCTACATCTTCTGTTAATGTGTAAGGAGTTAGGAAAAAAAACCAAAAGAGGTCTGTGCTTTTATTTTAAGAGGAACTTGGAGCACTTGCAGCAGATGAAAGAGGAAAACTGGAGAAGAGAATCGGAGAGCATTTCATTAATTATTTATTATAATTTTATGTGGGAATTTATCTGGAATGTTTGTATAAAGGAACTGAGTTAGGACCCAGGAATGTATGGATCCTTAAAATGCATGTTTACACTGGTGCACAGGTTTTTTGCATTTAAGAGAGAGTGCTGGGGGCATTACAGAGCATCTTAACTGATACAGTCACAGGTTGAGGGACTTTCTCAGGCAGAATGAAACAGTGGTGCAGGATGAAATCAAAGAAGTACCTTGTGTCTGGCCCAGTAGGTATCAGCACAGATTATAGAAGTTGCTAAAGTAAGATAAAGAATAAAGGGACTCTCAAATACTATATGGCTGTATTTCTAGTTTGCTTAACTTTCATTTTTTTCATGATCAGGGTTTTAAAACCCTGTGTGTATGGACACCCACCACCCAGACACGTGTACCTACACATATGTATGTATTTTTAGGTTTTATACGTTCATTTGCTCAGTTTGCAGTTCTGGACCAGAATACCTCAAACGTTTACCCTTGAGATGGTAAGTATGAATTTTAAGAAAGGGTGAGTTGAATATATGCTCTGCTTTTCCTTTTGGTGTTCTGATTCTTCTTGCTAAAAAGGAAATCATCTTGTTAGCTTGAGCTGTTTCCCGAGTCATTTGTGCTGTGTGTATGATCAGGGATAAATTTCTTTGAAAGATGGTCTTTAAGGGTAGAGATATATGGTGATTGCATGCTCTTGGGATTCAATCCTGGGATCATTCAGTGCAGTAACAAGCGACTACTCATTTGTTGTATATGTGAAGATTGAGATATCTAAGTTAAGTGCTTTTTGCAGGTTTGTATTCCTGCTGTGTTATCTGAGTCAAACATAGTGAGTACCAGAGCACATATCCTGATATATTTTATAATAGTTTCCTTGAATAGACTTAATGGAACGAGTCTGTAATAGAAATTAGAGCCTGTTTAGTGGATATATACCTAGTGCTAACAAATACATGGTGGAAATTACCGTGTTAAATGTTAATACACCAAAATAGTGGCATGAATTCAGAACCGATACATTCAGGTGTGAATTCAGACTTGCTTACATATCCCATGGTCCAGACCAGTTTTGGAGTTAAAAAATCATGAGAATGAGATGAGGCAGAAATGAAAGTGAGATGCAAAACAGAAGGAATCACTTGAAGAGAAATTACAGGAGGCTTCATAGTGTTGTCTGGATTGAGTGTTTTAAGTTGGGCTTTGTGTTCTTCCACCTGTGTAATGCTAATATATTTTCTAATAAATTGTTTCAAAGGAAAGCAATTGGAAGAAAAATACTTGTTTTCTCTGGTTTTTTTATTCAAATATTCTAGGGTAGATATAGCACATCTATGCCTTTACAACCTAAGTGTTATTCATAAAAAGAAATATTTTGATTCGGAGCTTGAACTTATGGCCTACATTAATGAAAACTGGGATAGATTGCATCCTGGTGAGGTAAGTAAGTAGAATACCCTTTCTTGTTTCTAAATCATAGTGCATACATATGTCCTGAAAGTTGACAAACTGTGAACTGTTTTACTCTGGATGTTAAATCCTTTAGCACCTTAAAATCTGGTAATCCCAAGTAAGGAAATGACTTTTTGTTTCCTTGCAGAAATAGAATGCTTTTTAAGTGGTACATATTTTTCTAAACTGTACAATTTCTTCAAGTTGTCTATGCAGCTAATTACTTGCCTGGTGACTTCCCGTTACTTAGCTGTTTATTCAGTTGCATATCTACATTCCCTTTTAGTTTCATAATGCTTTTATTACTTTGATATTTTCATGTGTTCTGACCTGAAAAATCTAAATGTAGAATTGAGGGCAGAGTATATTGCATATGAAGACCACAGTCATTGTCTCTAACACACTATTAATGTATTAAATATTGTACTCAAAGATTTCTTCTTTCCTGATTCTTACAGTTTGCATGCAGTTTGTTTTTGATCCTTTTGCAGTCAGATTCAGTTACTTGTCAAGACATTTTTATTTTGATTCATTACTATACTAGTTATTTTCCCAACTATTTGATTACTGAGCAGTTATCCTAGCAGTAAAGGAAATCCATTTACTCAAGTAGACTGACTTCATATTTAACTAAGATGACCAGTGTTGATCTTTGTTTCTGCATATGAGGTTAGATGCAAAAATTGGTGACTGAAGTTCCAAGTGGCATAGTGCTAATAGAGTAAATACTCTTTTTTGTGCATGAAAATTGTTTAGGACTTTGAAGGTTTTTTAAATACATGGCATATAATGGGTTGACATTTTCTGTCAGTACATTCTACTTTTATACTTCAGTAAATTCATACAACTGTACTCCATTTCTTAGCACTCACAATTTGAGAACCAAGTGTATGTTCTTGGTTTAAATATGTAACTGTTTTTCATAAATAATGGAAACCAGTCTAAACATATGTATTTTAAACTGCCTGTGTCAGTAGTTTGACAGAAAGTTAAGCAAACATTAAAGCATGACTAAAAATTAGAGTCATGAATACATGTCTCGTTTACTTTGACATCTTTTACCTAAGTAATATAAAATCAATAAGCCTGTCATATCAAGACTTGAGCTTTGAATTAAAAAAAAGGCTAGGCAAAATGTAATTCTTACACCATTTTTTCAATAGAACAAATTTTTTAGCTATCTTACTGTACAGCTTAACAAGTATGTAATCTGTATTTAATTTTGCATTTTGTTTTTCTTAGTGTTGAGGGAAATGTAGAAAATTGTTTGTTCATTTAATATTATATTCAACATAATGTCATGTCGACTGGCTGGTCAGAGCAGTGAATGAGAAGGGTGAAGCTGTCATTGACTTGGAGCACATAAGCCATTTTGAAGAAGTTGAAAGGTTTCATTCCTCTCTGTGCTCTTCCCCTTTCTGCTTCCAGTCCATCCATGCTCAGTCTGAAAAACATGTAACAAAGGGGGAGGAAGGAAAGGGCAGATCCAAAATAAGTAAACTCACTTCTTTTATTTGTATTTTCAATTCTTTAATATTTCTACACCTTCAAGTGAACTATTGATTTGAAGTCTGAATACTACATTTTCAAAGGGCTAGATTTTGAACAAATTCATACAAGCTGTATTGAGGAAATTTAAATACCTTATTCTGAACAGATTTTAAATGTCTTTCATGAAGTTGGCAAAAATTGGTTTGAAAAATCTGATTAACTTCAGTTAATTAGGGAAATGAGGGAAACAGAAATTAGGCACAGAAATAATTGACATGTACAATGTAATGATTTAGGGGTTTTGTTATCTCCTTAAATTGCCACTGTTAAAAATGACATTTTAGTTTCCTTCTCTACCTGTTTATACTTGAGTAAGAGGAAAAGGGTTTTAGCTGTAGGTAAGATAGTAGTAAATAGTGGAGAACTCGTAAGCAAGTAATTTTTAACATGTTGTTATTTAGAAAGCAGTAAATATGTGGCAATTTTCTGTAGTTTAGTGTTGCAAGACCTCTAGATAGCAATGGATTGTACAGAATGCATATGGTCTAGATGGAAAACAAGTTGTTACTTTCTTTGGCTAAAACCTCTTGAACACCTCCATTAGTTTGGGTAGTCAGACAAACTGTCATTTGTTAAAAGTTGGGGTTTATAAGTATATTTATTCACTTGTTTTTAGCTATTAGCTCATTGAATTCTTTGCCTGTTTCTCTCTGTCTTGTTTGGTGAGAATTGTGTTCTTTAGAAATTATCTGATCCTGAGTTTTTTGTTGGGTTTCTCTGAGCTCCAAATGTTGTACAGTCTTGTCTTTAGTATTCATATTAATAGTGAAGCTTATAAACTGCTGTCAGCTGTAATTAGAGATAAATTTACAAATTCGGGCATGGCAACTGGAAATAATGGTAGTTCTGCTGGAATTGAAAAGTAGATAGAGCAATATAAATGTAAACAATCTAATTTTACATTCTGGTACTTAAATGTTGTGTCCATGTGATAGTCACCACCACACTTGTTATGCTTTTCTCTAATAATTTATGCAATTTTTCAGAGAGATAATTTCATGTTTTGAGAGCTTGATAGGGACTAGTTACTTCAGGCTTTGGTGAAAGGAGGGAGGTTAGACTGGGTCTTAGCTAAAGGGTCATGAAAATAGATCTACTGGTTTGGGATTTCCTAAATTCTAATAATTTTTCTGGGTGTTTTCCTTTCTTTTTTGTATCAAGTTGAGTAGTATTAGAAAAATAAGAATTTGGTCCTGTGGCAGGATTTTGCCATAATTATCGTAAATAATTAGCTTCTTTTGTCTATATAGTTATCCTGTTTGCAATCTCAATTAATTTAGGAGTACATATGGAAGGGTTTTTTTAGGAGTCTTGGGAGGTTGTTGAGATCTTGGGAGTCTTGTTAGGGCAATCTGGTGTTATGTTCCCTCATTATACTAAATGTTTTTGAGATATTCTTGTACTTCTTAAAAGTGAAACTCATTCTATGTCCTGGTCTTGATCCTGGCATTAATTCTGTGGCTATAAATCACAAAATGTATGGAATTATGGTTAATATGCACAGCTAATATTTCATTAATGTACTTCACATTCAAATCTATCGTTACAATGACTAAGAGGAACTGGAATCTTTCTATTACTAAAGAATTTGAGAGGTTAAATGATTTCTTAATACTTTACAGCTGGCAGACACACCAAAATCTGAAAGATATGAGCATGTCCTGGAGGCATTAAATGATTATAAGACTATGTAAGTTTTACTGGTACTTTTTGTTTTAAATGTTGTTTGCCTATTTAATCTCACTTAGGTTACAGTCTTCAGTGATAATCGCTCTGGCTGTAGATAGCATTTTAAGTTTTAAATAGTGTTTTTATTTCAAATTATAACATTACATAGCTATTTAGATTGTGACCCAGACCAAGAGAAAGAATTGTTTTAGCTTCCATCCTCTTTCCACTTCACATTCTGTTTTTGAGAAGGAGAATTGCGATGGGGTAAAGAGGGGAATAAAGTAGTATTTCAGTGAATATTCTCTTTGCATCATTTTGCTTTGCATGTACCCTGCTATTTCGAAAATTGCCTTTCCTGGCATCAGAATTTCAACAGTTAATTTAACATTATCTAGGTTTATGTCTGGAAAAGAAATAAAGAAAAAGAAGCATTTGTTTGGCTTGAGAATTCGAGTTCCTCCTGTGCCGCCGAATGCTGCTTTAAAGGCTGATAAAGAACCAGAAGGAACGTCACATGAATTCAAAATTAAAGGCAGAAAGTCATCTAAACCGATCCCTGATGTGAGGTAAAATAACCCAGTCATTCTAGCTGTGTTGTGGTTAATTTGGGCTACTTTGGGTATTTTTTGGTGCCAACAAAAAAGGCCTTTTCTTTGTAGAATGTTTTTTTAAAAAATTAATTGTAAAGGCAGATTATTTGTGAGGACGAGGTCTTAGAACAAATGTAGTTAACTTTCTATTCAGATTCTTCTAAAAAATCAACATGAAATTTGGGAGTAAGAATAATAGAAAAGATCCCAACTTTGCTGTCATTTGGGAAACAAAACCTTTGCCTTACTGGATCTCTTAAGCAATAATCTAACTGGAATTCTCAATAGGAAGTATGTTGTGAAATAGTAACTTGTATTGGTAAGTGTGCCATGTTTTTCACCAAGAGTGGTCATATGAATAAATGATATTTAACACTTGTTCATTCCTCTTCAACATTTGGGAATCAGTAATGTCCCTAGAAATACATTGAATCTGTTATGTTACTGTAAAGACAAAACCATGTAGCTTTGTACCTGCAAATTTTGATTTGCCAGAATCACCTCATTTAATACAATGTTTTAGAAATAAACATCTAATTGTAGATTCATTGCCAAAGGAAAACGTGTATTCAATGAAAACTATCATCAGTAATACAGAATAAAATACAAATTTTCTTCTAGGGAATTAAGTAATGGTATAGAAAGAAAGGGGAAAAAAAAATCAGTAGGTCGTCCACCTGGTCCCTATACAAGAAAAATGATTCACAAAACTCCAGAGTCATCTCCTCTGGTAAGGATATTTCTTCCCCCTTCCTCCCTTCCTTCTAACTGCATCATAAATGTTGAAGAAAAACATAACAAGTTAATATGAATTTATATTCCCCCCCTTGCTCTCAAATGAAATAAAGAAAAAATTTAAGTTGAAGTACCTTTTTTTTTTTTTTCCTCCCTTAGGATAATGAACCAGTTCCAGTGATAGAGAACCCAGCCTTGGAATTACCCTGCACTGTTGGGTAAATTAAAAAAAATTCCTCCCATCAAACATTGTAACATCATGTAATTTATCTGTTTGCTTCTGAAATGTCAGCTCAGTTTTTAATGTAAGATTATTTTTTTTCATGGCAAATGTTATCTTGCAAAACAGGAAATCTGATGGAACTGCACATTCATCCAATACCTCAGATGTGGAATCCACAGGTGCTGCCAGTATGAAAGAAACTACCTCATCTAACATTTCCAGACATTATAGGTAACTACTCAGTTACTCTATCTGCTCTAAAGATCAAGACTTGCAGTGTATTAATGTTAATAAAATTTTCTCAGAGTAGTTCTATAAATAGCATGGGGAAATACAATGAAATAGGATGAGTGAAAATTTGTCTTGAATAGTTCTGTTTACAACTCAGGGAGTGAGGATTTTCTGGTGCTCACCAACCATTGTTTTTGATGTAAAATATGTGGCTAAGTGACATTTACTGAAAAGAATTAAACTGTGTAAACATTTGCTATGCTTAGTTTTCTACTAGCAGTCACAAAAGATCTGATGTACTCAATTAATTTTAGCAGCTTTTGTTTTTGTAGGTTTGTGTGTTCACGTTATAAAATACTAAGTATGCTGTGATTTTCTACAGTCAATAGAGCATGAAAAAAATCTGGCACAGAGTTTATAAATAAATTATTAACTACAGTCACCCTTCCTGCAAGCAAAAACTTTTCCCTCTCTCAAGTTCAGCAAATAGAAATTTCTCTTTTACTGACGTACGTGGATTTTACTGTTTTGTCTCCCCTTTCTGGTTCATGCTATTGAGTGCTTTCATGAGTCATTTTTGTGTGCATTATTGATATAGTCAGCTTTCAAAATCTCATGTTTAATTTAGAGTTCTGAAATTGTTACCAACTGTGTCATACTTACAGTTACGTATCTGTAGGCAATAAGTATTTTTTGAGTGAAAACCAACAAAAATGATTACATGACTGGCATGGAAATAACTGATGATACAGCACACATGTTGAATTCCCTTGGAGTTAATGCTGTGGGGTTTTATTTTCAATAGTTTATCTGACTCGAGAAAAAGGACTCGTACAGGAAGAACTTGGCCTGCTGCAATACCACATTTGAGGAGGAGAGGCCGCTTTCCGCGAAAAGCACTCCAGACTCAAAATTCAGAAATTGTAAAAGATGATGACAGCAAGGAAGATTACCAGTATGATGAACTCAATACAGAGATACTTAACAACTTAGCAGATCAGGAGTTACAGCTCAATCATCTGAAGAACTCCATCACTAGTTATTTTGGTGCAGCAGGTAGAATAGCTTGCGGGGAAAAATACCGTGTGTTGGCTCGTCGGGTGACACTTGATGGAAAGGTGCAGTATCTTGTGGAGTGGGAAGGAGCAACTGCATCCTGACTGTAGGACTGAACATTATGTTCACTGCACTGTCATCTGTAAGTACAGTTCATAATGCAGAGCCACGAGAGAAATAGTCTTTAAATGAGTTCTAAAAAGAAAAACAAAAAACAAAACAAAACCAGTTTAGCCTTAACATGTAATTGTTATCATTACAGCTCTTGTGATAAAGACTTATCTTTTTAAATTCTGATCTGAGACTTAAATTTTTTAATCTGAACATTGTTAGATTGTTTTAGGTTGGGATATTTTGGGTTACGATTGCTTAAAAATGTGCATGGTGTTTAAAAAAAGATGACATTTTCTAGAGAACATTCCATGGATACAGTTATTGTGATTTAGAGAAAATATTATGTAGATAGCACAAATATTTGAAAAATCTTGGTTTGTTTTCTTACCCAAATGTTTGCAGAAATGTATTTCTATTTCAATACTTTCTAGATTTCATAAGTGCAGTGTATATAATACCTACTGAAGACTGTAAAATACTGAAGTTTTCTTTCAAACAAAGTGTAAAAAAAAAAAAAAAGAAAAAAATATATTGAGCCTGTAAATTGCTCTGTGACCAGACTTCATTGTCTTCTTAATATATTCTGTGTGTGTGCGTGTGCGGTGTGTGGGTATATACAGAGGTGTATATGCACACACAGACCTGGGCGTGTACATAGATGTGTGATTGTGACCTATGCAATACAAATTATGGGATCGGTCAGCTTCTGAGAATACATCCCATAATTCTTTTTTCAGGAATAGTTGCCAGTATTTACACAGCAGCATTTCTTCTCAGGCTTATTGGGTGCTGTTGCTTTTTATGTACTAAGGAAAGGTGTCCAACCAGTGCAGCGTGTTCTGGCAGTGGGTGCAGTCATTGATGTTCATGTGCTCTACATTCCATTTTCCATTTGAATTAACTGCTAAAAAATAATGCAGGATTGAAGATTTTTAAATTAATTCTATTGGAAATAACAATTTGAAAGCTCTTGTGGCACTCTGATTGTAAATTTCATGTCCCAGTTATAAAGTAAGTTGACAGGAGTCATGCAGGATTTCTACATACCTGTAGAACAGTCATATTTTGATAAATGTAGTATGAATTAAGTGTGTTATTGCACAGGGTCAACAAATGTTGCCATTTGAAGTAACGTTACTGATTTTATTACAACATTACCTCTTTTGTGTTTATAAAATGTACCAAGTTTAAATTGGTAAGATTATTTTACTTGTTTAAAAAAAAAATCAAAAAGTCTCTTGACAGTATTAGATGTTTTTTCTTTGTCTGCTACTTTTGAGGGGGTTTTAGCCAAAGAGTAAACAGAAGAATATTTTTACTTTGGTGGTTATTCACTGTACTGTATAAGGTTAGTTTTCTTACATGCTTACAGTTTGCCACCAAAATAAAATTATGTAACATTAGCAAATGACAGAGTGGTTTAAAGTGTACTACTTGAGTGAGTACTTATTTATTCCATTATGTGGTTATTTGACTTTTTCTGCTCATCTTGAACATCTTGAAAAGGTGACTTTTTTGCTGAATATTTTTTTTTGTCACCTTATAGCCAAAGGAAGCAGAGAAAGCTTTTTATCGGCTTGTGGCTGGCTGGGTTATATTAGCTTTATAAAAATGCTAATTAAAGACTCCCACTTCTGTTTACCTTCACTAAAATGTGTGGGTTTTTTCTCACACCCTCAGCTATTAATTTAATGTTGCCTTGCCTATAGCTGCAATATTTTGATAACACAGCAACTTCATGTTAATTTTTGAATGTTTATATCTTGAGATAATGCAAAATGTAAAGCCTTTGTAACCTTACTCACACCATCTGTATTTGTCTTTGTTTCACTTTATCCAAGTCCTTTAATTCTAACTGAACACCAGCAGTATTTTTCATAAAGATTCATTGGAATGTACTAGGGGACTTAAGTTGGGGAGGTGTGGGGAGAAAATACTTGTCAAACTTCAGCTGTCCATAGACCTAACTATTGTGAATGTTTTCATTTTATTATGGTGGTTGACTTAACTCTGATGTTCAGTTTGTATTTTTGGAATTGCTTTTCTCTTAGAATTAAAAGACCAACATTAAATGTGTGTATTTTTGAGAGAGAAGAATGAGTTTTGATTCTGTACTCTTGTGAAGCACATACTTGGTGGCATCCTCCCATCCATCATTTCCCAGTCTCTAGCTTTCCTGTTCCTGTCCTGGAGACACTTGCCCTGCACATAGACACTAACTGGTGTTCCAGCTGTGGTTGAGGGATGCTTTGTTACAAGGTGTCATGTACTGGAAAATGCTGCAATAGTGCTGCTGAAGATAGAGCTAGAGTAGTAATTAAAGCACACCTACAAATGCCTTTCTCATTTTATGTGAATTTCATTGTATGTAGTAGTGGTGTGTCTAAAGGAAAAAGACAAATGTTGTTGTATGTAATGATTTCATTTTGGTATAACTCGATCATTGTATGTACGCATGTGTGTAAATATATGTAATTCAACTTTGTTGTGGTCACTGATTTAGAACCATTTCTCTGTGTATATTTAATATTTTTCCATTATGTTTTATTTGTATTACAGTAGTATTTAGATAGGAGATGTCTCTCGTGACAGTTCTAAAAAGATAGGTATCGCATGAACAAGACAGCAAAGAAATAATGGCACAATACTGGTCAGAATTGTAAGATATGCATCATAGCAAACTATTTGTCAAATCATTGTTCTCAATACAACTTCAACAGGAATTTTGAATAAAACTATGGTTTTTCTATGCATAATGCATTTTGAGTGAGATTACGAAGGAAGTTTGAAAAATCTCTAAGGATGATATATGAAATAAAGATCAATATTTCAATTTAACATGAAGAAAAATACAATCAAAAAGGTCTTTAAAGGTGAAGACAAGCACTTTATTGTCTAGGGGGTGGGGAGATAATTTAATAAACAGAAAAATGGTTTGTCTTTGGAATATCCTACTAAAGTGATCTTTAGTCTTATATTTTAAAAGGAAATTGGTGAATTGAGATGGAACATACCAAGGCCGACTATGGAGCAGTAGTCAGAACAGAGACAAGGACAAACTGGACAGAAGCATCAGTTCTGTGCACGGAGGGAAGAGGAGGAGTCTTGCCAATTCTATGCTGGTAATATATTCAGGCACATCTCTAGTTGTCTCACATCTGTCTGAATGAAAAACAACACTCCAGTTAAGGGCATGATGGAAGAAAATTACTTTTTGTCGAAATGGAGAAAAGAGTTTAGGAAACATTGAAACCTTGTTTGGTCAATGCTGAACTTAAATACCCATATTGAGGTGTCAGATCTATTGATATCCTGGTTTAGTTAGAAAAATATTAATGCGTGAGTTAAACTTTGGCGTTGTCAATGTTTGTAGAAAAGTTTGCTCTGGCATTGGTTTTGTTTTTTTTTTTTTTTTTTTTTTTTTTGTAAATTGGATCATCTGTAGGTGAGGTGTGGTGACATCTCCTTTGGAGTCCCTGAAGCAAGTGGGAGGGGGAAACAACTGTCTTTTAGCAAAGGTAGTGCAGGACAATAGAAAGGAAAACTAAAAGACAAATACCAGTACAAGCTGTGCATAGGCTGAGAATGAGCTTGAAATTTGATGCTTTTGCTGTCCTTCAATTTTGTCATTCAGCAACAATGAAACAAGATTTTTGTATTGCCTTGGTATTTTAATGTTTTCCATTTTTGAATTCTTTATTGTTCTCAGCTAGTCCATCTCTGCTGTTTTTTAAATCAGGTTTGTACATATTTCAGGATTGAGATCCATATACCATAATGTCAGCAGTTGTTCTGGTTTTCATTAGTACCAAAATATTTTGCCAGCAGATACTAATTTTTCAAGTACAGCTAGAATTCATACCATTCTTTTTATATAATCTTCTCATCTGTTTACTGATACTATTTCACCAGTATGTGTTTTTCTTCTTCTAATTTATGTTTCCAGCTTCTCAATTTCACAATATTCAGATTACTTGCCATTGTTAGCTACTTAGTGTTTGGCGCTGACTGACTTCCATGTGATTTTGGTTTCCTAGTCTTCTGCTTATTTCATGTTCAGCATAGTACCTTCCAAGCCTGACATCTGCAGTTTTACTCTTAACAACCTCATTTACTTCAAAACCTGTTTTAAAGCAGGAAGCTAATCAATAGTTATATCTTGCTCTAAATAAAGTTTTTTCTGTTAGCACCACTTCCAAGTCCTTCATTTGTGCTTTGCCATTCCCTAATGAATACTCACAGAACTTGGTTATTGTTGCATTTCCTTGTGTCCCCATCAGTGGGATAGTTACTGCTTTGCTACGTACCTGTTTTTCTCATTCATGATCATTACTGGTTGCCTGCTTTGTGTTGTTTGGTTGCTCTCATCTAAGTATAACTTAAAGTAGAGCAAAACTAACTTCACAAATTGCTTGCATGATAGCAGAAACCAGAAAGCACTAAGGGTAAAATTCTAACATCAGCAATAGTTGGAAATTGTGGGAAAGGGAATTAACGAACAACTGGAGAGGTTTTAACTCCATGAAAGCCTTAAGCATAAAAGAAAAGGACTTAGATGTTTAATTTCAGGTCCCCTTTACATAAGGTTGAAATGTATAGATATATGCTTCTGGAACTTTTCTTTTGGAAAATCTGTGCCTTTTTTATGCACCTGTTATGCACTATGTTCCAGTTTAGCAGGTGGCAGATGGAGAATGAGGATGGATATTGTTTCCAGGAACTTGGTATGCACGAATGGAAGAAAGGAGTTTGTGAACAGTATGGGTTCCAAGTCTCATTAACTGTTGTCAGCTATAGCACTTGATTGCATGAGAGATGTAATTCAGATGCTTCTGGTGAAACTTCAGCAGTGTAGGTGGGCTTACTACTAAGTTGTTTTTCATTATTTTATTACTATTGTATTATCTTTGATAAAAATCAGCAGTTATGTGAATTATTGGTTTTGAAAACAGTTATGTAGCTTTTGATTGCATTTTTAATTTCTGTAGTGATTTGTGTAAATTGTGCTTACTCACCTCTGTACTGTGTTATTCATACAGCATTCCTCCTGTATGAATAGTGCATTTCTGTGAGAGTACTGCTGGAGCCAGGGGGAAAGCATGGAAAAGGAAGGGCTTAACAGAAGCCATTTCTCAGCAGTAACTAAGAGATGTATGTTTCCTGTCTACAACACAAGTTGTTGCTAAGTTCTCAACTGAAAGTCTTGAGGAGAATTGTCCTTTCAAACATAGGAAAGGAACTGCTAGGTTTTTAAAGACATCAGATACAGCTCAGTCTTCATAGTTTCAGGCTGTTTTAATTAAATTTTTGGGATCATGAGTCTTTAGAAGAGATTGCCATATAAATATTAAAAAAAACCCCCTCTGTAAAGGGGAAAAAAAAAGTAATTGCTGTGACTGTTGGAGTAAAATCTTTAAAAATGTGGTCTTAACACTGTACCATGTGGTCATGGAGTGAGGATGGTGCTGCACCCTGACAAACAAGTGGAGTTAAACAAGGCCGTGCTGCACTGCTGAGCACGAGAAACAACGTGCCAGTGTGAGCACAAGGCTGTGCTGTGGTGTACAGGAGAAGGGGAGGCAGAAGGTGTCATTTCTCAGGGTGCATGCTTGGAGAGATCAGGAAAGGAAACTTCTGCAGGTATTTCTTATTTCCGTGTCCAAAAATACCTCTTAAAAGAGTTTTTACTACTCATGTACTTTTTCAAGTCAAATCACTGCTTCTACCACTAATTGCCTAATCTGACAACATAAGATTGTACTTTAGCATTTCGTGATCTATTTCATTGATTTAAAACACAGCGTAAAGGAAGTTCCTGTTTCATTACTTGAACAATGTGGTTTGCAGGCTTCCGGATGGGCCCGGGTGTCTCAGGAGTCTTGTGAAATGGTAAACAAGCCTGGATTTCTCGTGCATTACTCAATTACCCAAAAAAATGCTCCAATATTTTGAGCTTTATTCTTGGGATCTTGAGTATTATTTTATGAATAATGCAAATATAAATAATGAATAGTAATTTATATTATGAGTTTCTTAATTGCAAAAAAATGCTCCAATATTTTGAGCTTTATTCTCAGGATCTTGAATATTATTTTATGAATAATGTAAATATATATTAATACCTAGTAGCAATTTATATGATGAGTTACTTAATTGTGAGCTTGAGATTGTGATACTATTTCCTGTTGATGTTTGCTGCTGAAATACAGTTAAGTATGTTAAATGTTTTCTCTTAGAAAGTCCAGAGGTTGGTGTCTTTCTGATCTGACACCTGTGTAAATCTTAAATTATTTGCACTGACAAAGTTTATATTTACAGTGACTAAGAACAGAATTTGCCAATTTCACAAGGAAGAAATGAAAAAGCTGCATTACTAAAACTCAATTTCCTGTTAGCTTAGCATCCTTGATCTTTTGCAGCATTCATAGCATTCTTCCTTTATTATCAAACAACACAAGCACAGGTTTAAACTTGATTTATTGAAAATCTCAGTTTTGCATAATTATTCAACATCTGCAAGTCTTAAAACATTTATTTCTGAAGAAAAAGTCCATTAAGAAAAAAACTAATTTATATTCTCCTTTGTAAATTTTATACAGCGGAAAGCAATTTACTCTTCAAAATCCAAGTACAATGTTTCTTAACTGCAAGTTTGAATGCCAAATCCTTCACCTATCATAAACATTGCAGCTGCCAAAGTCAATGAACTTTTCTAGTTATTCCCTCTTTCATTTTCTACAGTGGACCTTGAACAAAGAGCAAATACAGTCAGAGCTCTTAGCTGCAGAACAGTCATTCCTTCCAGATGAACTCTGCTGCCGATTGTTGCGTTTTCCTTCTCCCAGGGATCGCTGTTTGTAACGGGAGGTGCTGAACTGCAGCAGTGATGAGAGCAGCTGCATCCAGCAGCAGGTGCAGCTGGGACACCAAACGGTTTTGTCACTGATGTGTAGCTACAGAGAGGCACAGCAGAGCAGCTGGGGAACCCAGTCCCCTAAGGCGCCCCTGGAAAACTTGGCAGAGCTTCTTGGAGTTGTAAGCTGAAATCTTGACTCTAGTAGCTTGGAGAGCAGAGGTAGATGTCTTAGTCACAGCTTCCCAGAGCTGCTTCAGCATTTTGCAGATGGTTTGGAGCATCACACATGGTGATGCAAGCAAAGGTGGCAGATAACATGGTAGAGTGCTACTGGGAGAGGGACAGGGAAGTGGCACGAAAATATTTGCTACTCTAGCTAAAAGAATTATTTTTTTCCTAGATATTGTTCTTATCACAGAAATAAGCTTTCTACTTCTGGGCAGTTTAGAATAGAAAGCATCATATGAAATTAAGATACACAAAACCTTAAAGGGGTACAGTCCCATTTTGGACACAGTTTTCCAGAAAGATGAAGTAGCTCAACAGCCTTTGGAGCCCTCTATAACATGTTCTGTAATAATTATTATTATTTTGCTTATAAAAACTATTTAGAAATATTATTGCTAGGTCCTCTTCTCTGAAGTTGAAGCTGAAGTGCTGTTTCTATGTTCTGTAGCCCTTGCTAGCATCTGTTTCATTTGAACAACATATTTCTTCAATGTATCTATTAACCCTGTTTTTATTCATAAAACACTAATCACAGAAAGTCTCAAAGTTGCAACTCTGCCATTCATACAGATGACCCCAGAACAGGCACAACATTAATACATACACTGTTTTTACAACACTTTTTACAAAAGTGTTTTTAATAAAGTTTAAAAAAACCTCTTATGATAA